TACAATGCGCCCTGACGCGGCGACCCTCGTTGTTTTTATGGCGAGCCGGTACTCAAGGTCGAGGCTCTGGCCGCACTGAGCGCTCCCGTGTGCGGCATCTATGGGGCGGAGGATCCGCAGCCAAAAACAAACCGAGCGGCAGCGGCGCGCTTCCGGTCGGCGCTGGCAGAGGCTGGGGTCGAGCACGATGTTACTTGTTACGAAGGCGTTGGGCACGCCTTTTGGAAGGACATGGGGCAGATAGAGCGACGAGAGACGCCACAAATCGCGGCGTGGCGGCAGAGCACCACCTTCCTGCGCACCTTCTTCGACGGGTGACCATGAGCATGGTAGGCCGACCGGCTACCGACAGCCGGGGTCTTAGTGCAGCGAGAGCCGGTGCCTCCCCCCAGAACCTTCCGAGATTTAAGTTTATTAAATACACCGCGATACTTCTTTCCTTTTGCACGTGCCATGGGGCGCGCAGGCAGGCAGGGGGGCGGGGGTCAGGGCCAGGGAGCAGGCCAGGGGCCAGGGGCCACAGGTGGGGCCGCCACCATCTGACGTCTGAGAATTGACAGCTCACCAACGGTTGTGCTGCTCTCCATACTGACGGTTGTACTCCAGTTTGCTGTACCCCTGCGAAGCCCCCTGCGTCCAGCAGTACTCGTTGTGACGATAGCCAGACTGTTTCCCCTCGCTGAATGTGAACCCTGCATCACTGCACTCATGAGGCAAGTAGCCCGCCTGCTTCGCCTCCGCACACGAGTAACCCGCCTGCTTCGCCTCCGCACACGAGTAACCCGCCTGCTTCATCTCCGCCAACGAGTAACCCGCCTGCTTCATCTCCGCCAACGAGTAACCCGCCTGCTTCGCCTCCGCACACGAGTAGCCCGCCTGCTTCGCCTGCACACTCGAGTAGCCCGCCTGCCGGAGCCCCTCGAGGAGCCCCAACGAGCGCGCCTCCGAGCACGCGAATCCGAGAGCCTTGAACGGCTTGGAGGTCTTCGCGCCGCCCGTGATCTTGGCACTCGCCCACCGGGCAGTGTGAAGGCTGCTGTTCGGGAAGGTGCAATCGTGGAGTGCGGCGTGGCTGAGATCGACGTTCGACAGATCGGTGGACGCAAAGTCGCAGCGCTGCACGCGCGCATGACTCATGTCGACTCGTGCCATCTGCGAGCTCGCAAAATCGATCCCGCACAGCGTGGCGTGATCGAATGTGGCGTCCGTCAGGTCGCACCCCGCGAAGGTGCACGCTTTGTCGATGACCATCCGGCTGAAGTCCTCGCCCGAAAAGTCGAGCCCAGAGAAGTTGGTGGTGCCGGCCTGGTAGCGGTCGAAGAACTCGCGCGACGACATGCCCATCGAGCTTATGTAACCCGCCATCCTCAGCTCGTCCGACGACCATCCGGCGGCCTTGGCCTCGAGCAGCGGGTAACCAGCTTGCCGCGCCTCTGCGCACGAGTAACCAGTCGCTCGGGCTAGCCGGCAATCGATGCCGGCCTGCTTGATCTCACGAAGCGCATCGCGTCGCTCCACAATCTCTGCGAGCGTTGCAGGGCGCGCGCTGCCGCTGCTTCCCGAATGCTTGGGCTGACGTTCGAGCGCATCAAGCCGGGCACGAAGACTCTGATTGTCCGTCCGAAGCTCGTGAACCTGCGTGAGCAGCGCCTGCATCAGCTCTGCCGAGGCGTTCTGCTTCGCATTCACGAGCTCCGCGGTGGCGGCCTGCTTCGCATTCACGAGCTCCGCGGTGGCGGCCTGCTTTGCATCCATGAGCTGCGTCATTGCGTTCTGCTTCGTATCCAACTCGTTCGTCGCCTTCTCCAGCTCGTCCACGCGCGCGAGCGCGTGCCCTACCAGCTGCTCCATTCGCTCCATCACGGGAGGCCGACATCGGTCCCCCGGTCCCCCCCGCACTTCGTACACGGGTTAGGCGCGAGACCCGAGACACACGGGTTTTGCCGCTCTCAGTTTGGCAACACGGTAAGACACAGGCGGCGAGGCGTGACCGGCGTGTCATCACAGCAACAGATACGGAAGCCCGGCGGCAGTCATCCATCCAGTTGTTTGCTCGAGCTCACCCACCCCAGTCACCACCACGGTCTCAGCCCTACCTGGCCGTTCTATATTATAGGATGGCATCCTTACATCTAGAATGGCGTCTCGCGCGCGCTCACCCGGCCGCCTCGCAGCCCCAGCGGCCGGGGGGCGCTTGTCGGGGTTGGGGTTGGTCACACACCTGAGCCCTGGTCTGACAGCCTGACAGCAACCCCCGGACAGCGCCTGACAGTGCCCGACAGCCTGACAGCGCTGACAGCACTTTCTCTGACAGTCTGACAGCACGTGTCTGACAGCCTGACAGCAGAGTCTGGCAGGCGAGGGGTTCCGTCGCTGTCAGGCCCTAACGTGACAGCCTGACAGCTGCCTGACAGCCCGACAGCACACAGTGGCCTGACAACAGCGCTGACAGCCTGACAGCCCGACAGCAGCACAGACCGTACACAGACCCCATAGAGCCTCTTTCTTGTGCCCCATTGAGGGTATAACAAAGTTACATGCAATAAAGACATGTGAGTGTGGTCCATGTAGTCATGGGATGGTCATGGGTCTCTCTCTCAACCCTCCCGCCCGCCACCTCTGCGGACCCCTCTCTAGCACCGGCGGCTGTGCTACTACAAATGAAGCTACCAGCTAGCCTTCTGGGGCCCTACAGTCATATGCCTACGGCGTCTGGGTGGGGGTGGCCGCCGCCGTCTGTGCCGCCGCCGCCGCCGCCGCCTGCGCCGCCATCTGCGCTCCCCAGGCGGCCGCCCCTGCCGGCGTGATCACGCCATAGGAGGGGGGCAGCTCCAGCGCAGAGTACCTGCGCCAGCTCTCCATGAGTCAGCGCAGCAACGGGGTCTTCATCAACGAGCCCAAGGGCCTCTTTATCCTCCGGTGGTACCGTGAGGTGAAGGGTGACGGGACCCCCCCAGACGGCCCGCGCTACCAGAACAGAGCGTGCAAGTACTACAAGCTGACGAGCGACAACGATGGGGAGGCCTTCCGCTGGACCAGCAACTACCAGATCATCAGCAAGGTGTACCTGAAGAAGCACTCCACCCTGCCACTCTGCTATTCTCTCAGTGCGGCAGACAAGAAGATGGTGACGTCCACCATGAAAAAGATGGTGGGACCGGAGGCAGAGTAGAGGCTAGAGTATGTATGTGTAGTAGAGTCCTGCTGGTCTCCTCTTGATAGTGTCATAAGTGTGGCTGGTGTGTGTCAGAGCCTGACAGCACCCCGACAGCACCACCTGACAGCACCTGACAGCAACAGCCCACCGTCTGACAGCAGCAGCAGCCTGACAGCTCTGACAGCTCCGACAGCGTCTGAC